GGAGTCATGCACATGCAAACATAGGTAGACCCAGGGGTTGAAAAGAAAGAGGTTATCACCAGATCAAAAATGAGACCGAAAAAGAACCCAGGAAAAGATGGTAAACATCGTCCACGACATCCTGATACCTAAATGAATACAAGTCACCATAACCCGAGTTGTTTTCCACATCAGAATCACTGCCATCCCAAAAGCAACAGCAGAGGGTACATTCCATTCACTTTAGACATCGTGGGCGCCATAACCGTAGTGATAAATTGGATAAGCAGAGCTCTTGATACAGGGACCGCAGCAAATCCACACAATGTCGAGATAGCTGAGAGAAAAGAATTTGAAAGATTAAGACATAACACACCAGTATGTTACGTGACAAAGGTCTCACTCCATAACCATAACTCTGATGACAAGGGCGTGGTCACGCCGGAATGATCCGGTTCGGTGTGCGGGGCCCTCAGGGCGTGGTTGAACAGCATCGTTCACCACAAACCGCACACGCTCGATTGGCCTCAGCCAAGAGCACATTGACCGCTATGCGGTCCCGGAACACCATCAGAGAGGTGACTGTCAATTGTTTTACTTTCAATCGCCAAAAAAGGCTTCCTCAGTATAATTTGCAAGCTTCTTGACACTGTAGTGGAGGTAGCAGATCCCGTCAGCACGTTTATAAAAATGAATTCCCACTGTGCAGCAACCTGGTTAACCAATTTATACTCATCTGGTACGCCACGAGGAACTCCAGTTACACCAATGTAGGTGGAATCTCAAATATCCTCTCCTGTGGACGGAAACATAGTCATTGGCAAAGCAGTGACACCAATGCGCAAACACCTGTGACAACCCTTCAAGCAGAGCTTTTTTATGATTTTTCGCAAAGAAAAAGAAAAACTCTCGGCCGCGATAATCATCATTTGCCTTCATCATCATTTGCCTTCATCATCATTTGCCTTCAAAATCGGTAGAAATACACTACTGCATTACATTGTATCCACACAGTAATGTAAAATTAAAATAAAGACCAAAAGAAAGAAATATTGTTCAACTTTCAGCAAAGAATAACTATATTAACGTCGGGTTGTTTTCTTTTTTCCTTTTACCATAAAAGAAAAGATCCTGAATGCATAAAATCACCTAAGAAACCTATTTAAAATCCGTATCTGAACCTTTATGACCAAATTAAGGCACCATTTGAACTAGAAATAAATCAATAAACAGTAATAAATCCAAATTCTGCCCAGCAAAATCAACCAAGGAGCAGAAAACATAAACCACTTTAACCTCCAAAACAAAACCAAATAAAACAAGTCGTGTTTTTTTTTTTTTTTATCACTCTTGGTGTGTTCACTTCTCAATATATATATATATTTTTTATAATGAGATCAACTAGATCGATTATAAATAAAACACTTTGCCTCCAAAACCAAAATGTATACAACAATTTGTGTCGAAATGTGTTTTTTTTT